AGGTCGCGTTTCAATACACTAAAGAATGTCATGTGAACACGAGTTACGTAAATTATAGAATTATAATAATAACTTTTATTTTTATTAAATTAATATTATAAATATATGTTATATCAGATTTAATTAAAATAATATTATTAATTGATTAGTCTGTATCTTTTTTTATTATTTTGAACTACAAACAATAAAATGCATTTCATCTATTTTTATTTTTTATAATCTTAGTTCTATTGATAATATCTTAGTAAAAGTTCATCAGCATAATAAAATCAGTTCAAAAAAAAAAATACTATATTAGTTTTCTTACATATTTCATATGACTTTTGGACATTCAAAGTATTAAATAACATACTTTTAACATTAGTGTATGATAGTTTTGATTCTCCATACTTTCTTGCTAGCTGTAAACAAAATATATAAAGTACAATAATATTTGATTTGTGATTTTTGTAATAATATATTAAAATTTAAAGAAGCTATGAAATTAAAAAAAAGAAAATTTCTCCATAATCATTATGACATAATTTCAAAGAACAAAAAATGCTAAACTACAAGTAGCAGACTGAAAGTTCAAATCACTTTGTTATTCATTATTCAAATATCTATCAAAAGATAACAACATCATTTGTTTATGTTTCATTGAGTGAAACTTATTGATAATTGATAATGATTAATACCTTGTTTTTCTTGTGTCTTACTAAAAATGATTATATATAGTAACTATTTAAATTCAATAAAGTAACATCTAAAGAGTTAATTATTATATTTTCTAATTGGAGTGTATTATTGACATACTGAATAATAAAATGAATTATGGTATCGTTGTCAGGTATTAATTTTATACCTAGTTAATTAGTCTAAATAATGTTTTTTAATAAAATTGAAATCAATTTCAAACGTTTAGAACAGAAGTAAATAAACAATTCATAGAACTCTAATTAAATAATACTAAATATTATTCGTATTTACTATTTTAAAGAAATATTTGGAAGAATAAAATATTTAAATTGCGTTGAAAGTTATACTTGCTATATTATATATTTTCATTCTCATTTACAAAGTCTTAAAAAAGAATCAATACTATGCAAGCGTTAGTTTTTTCATATATTAATCAATTTCTAAGGTTTTCAACTAAATAATTTATAGTATTACATTTTGAAAGTGTTGATTTAATGTGAATTGAGTGATAATTGTTTCTTATTATAATTAATTTAGTTTTATTAACATTAAGTATTTATGAAGATATAAAAAGAACTATAATGACTGATTGCTTTATTTTTTATTAAAAAAAAAAAAAAAAATTAAAAATAGTTTTAACTTAAATAAGACTGTTTAATTGATGAGTATTAAATTTAAAATAATTTTTCAAAACTCACATCAAATAAAAAGTCATCGTCACTGAATATTTTATTACTTAAATATGGTGCAAATTTGTTTTCTTCCTTGGGTTTACCTAATATTTCATGATTATTATCCGCAAACATGAGTTACCACACAATTAATGGAAAAAAAAATGGTATATTGTTTTCATTTATTATACAGATATACGATACACACCGTATATGGTGTTACAGAATATTATATGTCTAATATTTTTTTTAATCGTAGGCATCAAATATATTTTAAAGATATAAATTATAAGCTCACTAAATTACTTACCAAAATTCATTCCGATATTGTAATTTATAAATGGTAATTTATCTACAGAAATACATTTAAAACAATAGGTGTTTATTACTCTCTCATATTATATGGAGATTTATATAACGCTCAATTTTTATATTTACATGTATTGAATACAAATATGTAACAATTAAGGGTGTGAATTTGTAGGAAAGTATATTTTTTTTAACTGATTTTGAATTTGAATTATGTAACAAAAGTTCCATTTACGAAGCTTTTATTTTTAATTATTCGACGTTTTTAAATTTTTAGGTCATATTTTTACTTTAGTTAATTTTTTCGTATTTTTAATCAAATTCTGCAAATTATTATTTTTGAGAATATGTTTTTATTTTACACAGGTTGTACGAACCTCAAATTTATATTTTACATAAGCTGTATGCGGGTGAAAGATAATGATTCAATAAAATAAAGCAATATTGCTAGTTATTTGTGGCATATAAGTATATCAGTCACGAATTTCCACATTGGTTGATTAATAATTTTAGTAGGTTATTGTCATTTAGTACCTTTTTGACGATTGCGAAGATCCTACAACTTTTTTCATTTGAAGTGTTCATTTTATTGCAATTTTGAAATTTTAAAAGAATTTTTAAGGTTTTTCATTGTTTTAAATTCACAGTCCTGGTGATAATTATAAAATAGTTTCACCTATTTTATATGATTAGGAATATAATATAAATCACAAAAATTGATCTAATAACACTTAATTTTAATACTACAAATAAGCATAATCATAATTATAGCATAATTAGTTTCCGAAGTTAAACAAATAATAAAAGTAAACATAACATTAAATTAAAAATGTCTTCTTGAAAGTTTTAGAATAAGTAAGTAATAACTTTAATGTACACATTAAATTATTAATGTAATTCATCAGTTATCAGCAGGGTTCGGGACTTAATGTGCATACATAATATGAAAAATAAAATATAAATTTTTAATTTGACATCTTTATTAGTATCAAAAAAAAAAAATAAATAAGTATCGTATCCGATTTCTTCTATCTATTCTCGAACAAATATGTAAATGCATAAAGTCCTGATCCCTGATTGTCATTGTATCAATAAGTCACTGTAATGTATATATCTAATTTGAATTAAATGATAAAGCATTCCATGTAAAAACGATTCTAAGCAAATATAATTTGCCACTATATATTTTATAATATACAAATTGATATTCAAATAAACTATTTTAGTAATTATAATAGAAATGGTAAGTTAAATTGATTTTTACCAAAATAATTATATTTAAAAATGTCATCGTATGTAAGAAATATAATAATATGCATTAGATGTTTCAAGTAGTCATGAATAATATTTTTAAATTTGAAAAAAATAACTAAAATTCTTAATTTTTGTTTAAATATACAACTTTATCTAATTTGAATTTGAAATGTTATTTACATTACTTGTATTTCATTTTCAATTTTATTTGTTTTTAAAGTTATTTAGAGAAATACTGTAAGTTTTTTACTATTGATATTCCCAAAGTACCAAATGAGGCTAATTTATTTATTTACTACAAGAGACAACTAAGAAAAGTTGAAATTCAAAACATTATTATGACATTAAAAGGTGATGAAAAAAACATTGTTATAAAATTAATGCATTCATCACTTCACTTAGAATTTATGAAAAATTAAACTTAATTCGTATACTCTGTTCTAATTAATATAAGTGCACACTGCCATGGCGCATCGAATTGCACCACAGAGCAACGCCTGGACCTCTTCCCCACAACGACTGAGTCTAATTGCTTAGTTTTTTATCGCCTTAGTCAACTAAGGTCATCGTCGTAGACGACGTCGTAGTAAACAAAGTATTGCAATTGCCAGAATGGTCGGCGGCAGTGCCAAATGTAGCAGGAGTATCGACCAGTTTTCGTTTTTCCCCGTCAAATGCGTAATTGTTTTTTATGATTACTAATAATGAGTATCTCCATAAAATAAATAAATGTTTTAAAAACAATTTAAGATATTATACATTCCTAATATTATGTTAGACATAAACCGAAATATTTTTATGAATTTCTAACCACAAAATAATTCTTAGAACAATGTTACCCAAATACACTATAAAATGTATAATAATACATATACTGACATATATAAATATCTTACCATTGCATACTAAAAAATTAAATAACATAATATAATTTTAACTTAACAAATATGAATGTTTAAATTTTAATATAAGACAAAGCTTGAAATATTATAAAAGCATGTTAAGTAGGTACATAATATAATAAATCCATTTTATCATAGTTACGTCATATCTACAATACAACTGTAATTTACTGATTTAAAATCCATTACTTTTGCATTCTAAAAACAAAAATAAAATATGCATTAAGTTTATGATTTGATATTTAAAATATGATTAGTATTACATATATTATAAATTATAATATAAAACACAATGGTTGATCCTGGGATTTATCATTTATATATTTTGCGTATTTTAAATTGGATGAATTGGTAAAGTCTATGTATTTTTTACGTATAATTATTTTTTGTTTAAATTCCATGCGACATAATATTCTGTGTTTTATTTAATGTACACACATACAAGTGCGTTTAAATGTATATGAGAATGAACACCATATTGTGTGTAAACAAGAATTGTACTGTGTAATTTTACAGTAACTTTGTATGTAAACCAAATCATAATTAAATGTGGGTATAGACTGCACACACAGTCGTCTTTGGTTATGCAGAGACCCTTAGGAACACAGCGTTTTAAAGTTCTTAAACCATTAAAAAAAAAAAAAAAACTATTGTAGACTTATTGCATAAATAATGTATCATCTGAATTATATTGTAATTAATTGATTTTTAAATACATATTTAAAATGTTCAAGTTTTTAAATACTATCATAATTTACAAAATTAAAATCAATCAACATAATTTATATTCCTAAATAAATAAACTAGAGTAAATAATATGGATTATTATATAATACATAGTAACAATAATTAATTAATTTATTAAAGAATATCGAAATATGCCCTTTGAATACAAATTGGTAAATAAATACAGATATCGGAATATAATAGTAATGGTTGTGTGAATAATAATAGTTATAATAATAATACAATTATAACGTTCATAATGACAGTAAAAAACAAATTTAATAATTAATACAACAGAAATGGTATTTTAACAAAAAACGTGGAATCTTCATTTAGCAGTATAATATTATAATATTAAATTTTTCAATTCGTTAGTCAACATCTCGTTTCTTCAATCGTTGTGTCAATTTTAAAAAACGATCTCTGGATATTTGAGTCTGATATAAATAGTCATACTATTTATGAGATATTTGGGTATTCACTTCAATCAGTCACAGAATAAAGGTATCTGTCATAATTTTTGAAGGCGCGTGAGTCCGGGGTTTACTCATTAATCATTTGGTCATAGGATAAAATGTATGGAAAGGTATAATATTTGATCTACTCGTATATTTATTATTTTATAGAGTTTTTTTTGTATTTTATGAATATATAACCTATTTAATATTTCAAGTGAATCAATCATTACTAGGCAATAACTTAAACCAATGAAAATTAAATAGTTATTGATAATTATGATCCTAATAATAAAATTGCAATAATATTGTATTGTTATTATCATTATATAGTGCTAATAATATTATTATGATGTTTTTTATTTCTATCAATCGGTTGTACAAAAAAATTAAATAAGCTAAATTAACAGTGATGTTGTGTGAATTTGTGTTATTTCATTTTAAAATTATGAATCTATAATCTAATTTTTAATCAAAATTTTGTAATCAACAGTTTTCAATTATTTAGAAATAGGTACAATATTTATAAATTAATTGATATTCGTTACCTATTTCAATTTGCTCTTCAGAATATTCACAGCGGCTTATATTAATTGTAAAAGTTAATATTATTACAACTTTAAATGAAATCATAGCTATTTTTTTTTGTTTTGATAATTACAAAAATATAACAACTTAGATAATCACAACTTTGTTTTTCAAAGAACAAATTTAAAATGATCGCATTCAATTTAGGTATTATGATACTGTATACACGAAAAGAGTGCCTATTTATATTGGATTTTATGCAATAAAACAAATGAATAAATATTGTATGTATATATTTCAATGACATCTGTTTTAGCAATCGAAATGAAAAATTGTAATGTGAGGTGGTACAAACATGTTAAATTAATTAATAATGTTAAATGGTATACATAGGTATGTAAATGTAGAATCAAAATTTGAAATATATTTAAACTAAATTAAATTTTGTAACACTTAGAATTTGTTAAAGCATACGATTATTAAAATTTATTATTTATTGTAAATTATATCAAATTTTGATTTACTTTATTAGTTTCCACACACTTTAAAAGTTTTGGTAAGCCACAGCTTTTTCTCGTCATACTTACAAAAGTGACATAACTATAAGCTGTTATTAAGTTTACATTTCGAATATTTTGAAACAGCTTTTACTATTTACATTTTATAGTTTATACCAAGAGAATAACAATGATATGAGGCGCATATCCTACACACCAATTAACAACTGTTTTACCATTATTATCAATTTACTGGTATTTGTCTTAAGTATATACTCAGTTTCTAAACTAAATTTTATAGTTTATATGTGTTATATAGTAATACATATTATTTACATCAGTTTATCAGTTTAGGTACTGTTGCGTCCGTTATGTCAACGTCGATACATATATCAACGTAGAAATAGAAATACTAATGTTTGCAAGTTAAAAGATTAAGTCTTTATTTAATACAATTAACTCGTACAAGAATACAATTTTATAAGCACAAGATTGTGTGAGTGGTGTTACGACCTGCCTCTGAGCGTCTCGAATATCCCTAACCGTCTGCTGAGCTCTTGCCCTGGTCTCCCTTATATATGGTTAACCGTCAAGAGTGGTGACTGGGGAGGTGGTGACTTCCAATGACCCTAAGGAGCTCACTAAATTAAATGTATTATTCAGTTGGGTGCCTTTCCTGCGA